TTATTATAACTGCATAGTCTCAATCGGTTGAATGACTTCTATTAGCGAGTTACTCATGAATAAATTTAAATATAATATATGGTTTAATGTTATTTATAGTTGTTGTTATTAATAATTAATTTTTAAAATTTATTTGCTTAATGTTTTAATTTCTATCATTATAATTTGGTAAAATATCAAACATTGTTTTTTTATTTTAAAAGTAAAAATATAATTATTTATATAGATTTATTTTTAACTATTTTTATTGTAAATTATTTTAAGCTACTTATTTGAAAAAAATTTCACGATTATAAAAATATCTTTAGGAAATATTTTAGTTAAATTGATATTACAATTTAGTTATTTATCACTATAATTTATCACTTTTAACTATTTACAAAATATTCTTTGGTTTTTTAAATGGAACTGAAATTTATGTTTAAATTGACACTGTAATGTTATATTTAAATTAACAATTTAAGTATTTTGTCCAAACTGTTCAAAAGTTGTAGCTTTAAACTGATAATGGTTTACATATAACAACGTTTTAAATCTATTAAAATTAAGTATAATATGTTAAAACTTAAAGACATAAGTTTATAAGTATAAATAAATATATTATTTTAAAATTGAAATTTAGTTTATTTATGATTACACATTTGGTTTGATATTTATTTAACCTTAATAACCAACTTATAATCATTATTAGAAAGACACTACAATTTATCATTTTTAACTATTTACAAAATATTTTTTGGGTTGTTTAAGTTAAACTAAAAATTATATTTAAGTTGACCCTGTAATGTTATATTAAAATTAATATTGTAAGTATATTATACAAATTATTCCAAAATTGTATCTTTAAAATGATAATGGTTTACATCCAACAATATATTAAAACTAATAAATTAACTATAATATGTTAAAAGTTAAAATGCATAACTTTATAAGTAGAAGTAAAGATATTATTTTAATATTGAAATTTAATTTATATATGATTACACTTTATGTTTGATATTTATTTAACTTTATTGACCAACTTATATTTATTATTACAAAAAATTAAAAAGTCAAGGAAGTTTCAAATGAATGTGGTGAAAGAAAAATACATGGGAGTTTCAAATGAATGTGGTGAAAGAAAAAATACATCATTGATAAGTAGAAGTAAATATATTATTTTAATAAAAAAACATAATTTTATAAGTAGAAGTAAAGATATGATTTTAATATTAAACTTTAGTTTATATATGATTACACTTTAGGTTTGATATTTATTTAACCTAATTACCAAATTATTATTATTATTATTATTATTATTATTATTATTATTATTATTATTATTATTATTATAAAGAAATTGAAAGGTCATGAGAGTTTCAAATGAATGTGGTGAAAGGAAAAAAGAATGGGGGTTTCAAATGCATGATATTCAAGAAAAGATGCTAGCTTTATAAGTAGGTATGATATATATATATATATATATATATATATATATATATATATATATATATATATATATAATTTAACGTTTAATAATATATACTTATACAGTCTAATATATGATTAATCATATAAAAAATATACATGTATATTACCATTTCAAAAAACATACATGATTAAAAAATAGTTCACATACCATAATATATGCTTCTAGTTAATAAAAGAAAGATGATTTTTTCTCTACTTTCTCTAGGTTGCATACCTTCTTGGTCCTTATCAAACACTTGAAAATATAATTGCACCAATCAATGCTACTTAAATCAATACCTCTTTTGATGACATAAAATGATTCAGATTACATTTTCCTATGCTTGTCGACTCACAAAATGTATTAATAAATAGAACAAAAAAGTTGATTCTAAAGTTGTAATCCACTGCACTAGTTCGGACAATTTCGTTCTTTTGGTACTTTAATCTCAAATTAGCAACCTTCCCAAACTATTTCTTCCATCCAAACACACAAACTATCTTCATGGTGTTTTGAAATGTAATCGAAGCTTGAAAGTAATGTACCACCGGATGGTCCTAACATATCATGAACAAATTTGGTTTTAACACTGACTTGACATTTCTCAAACACCACTAAAAAACTTTCAACATTAAATGTTCAAGAATGTTAAAATAAAATAATAATAATAATAATAATAATAATAATAATAATAATAATAATAATAATAATAATAATCTTTAACGGTACATCAATCATCTTCATTTGTAACAAACTCCCAAATTCCATAGCCCTAGGACACTCCTTCTGCTCTCTACTTAAACCTTGAATCACGACCAATAATGACCCAATTGAGAATATGCTCTCCATTTAAGGAAATTCTTTTATCACAATGATGTTTTTCTTTTTCTTCACGACTTTAGCTTCTATCTTTGCTTTCTTTAAAGATCTAGAACAACTCTTAAAATCAGAATCATCTTCATCGGATAGTTGACATTTCTTACTTACAGTTTTTACTTTCTCCAAAATAACTCTCTTTCCCTTAACTATCAGATTCTCTTTTGGTTTTACAATATTTTCTTATTTAGATTTCCTTGATCGGGTTTCGACAACTTCCTTTGCCTTTTGTTTAGGACGATCTTGTCTACCATGAGCTTTCTATTGATACATTCTATATAATATTACCTTACTTATACTACGAAACGTTTTAGACATCATTATGTTAGTAAAAAAGAAAACAATATACATATAAGCAGTTAAGATTAAACAAACATAATCACTTATGATTACATAACATACCTTTATCATTTTTTATCTTGGACATTTTCTCTATAACTTATTTTACATAAACAAAAGGAAATACTATAAACAAAAAATAACATAATAAGTTATTTATACAAAACACAAATGAATATGATTATATATATATATATATATATATATATATATATATATATATATATATACACACACACATATTCATATAATAAAGTATGATTTTAACTCACATAATCGCTAATAATTACAAAACGTACATTTACCATTACTCTTTTTAAACCTTTTCTCTTTAGTTTGAGGATAATCATCTTCAAATTTAGATTGGTTTCCTAGATACAAAATTGAATATAATAATTTATGATCAGAAATAAAAATAAACATATAATTGCAACTATATATATCAATCCATTTAAAAAATTTATAAAATTATTAATGTTTAGCACCTGGTTCCTGGTATGTATCACATTAAAGTATTTTTTTCACATTTTGGCATGGACTTGGCGAGTTGAAGGCCCAACTTGTCGAGTAGAAGTGACTTGGACCGAGGGGATAGCTGGCAGACTCGCCGAGTCGGTAGCAAGACTCGACGAGTAGACCATGTCTAGACAAAACCCTAATCTGAGGGTTTGCACCCTATTTAAACGACCTTATACAGCCTCCATCGTCCCCTATGCTCTCAGAACACCTCACATTAAACCCTAATCATCTTTGGTGAAGATCTAAGGCTTTTTGGTCATTCTTGGTGGTTTGTGGTGTGGCAAGAAGGAAGGAAAAGCTTGAGGAACCAAGAGGTTGGCCAGAAGAGTCAAGCTTGTGCATCATCTACAGTTCTTGGAAGGTATAAAGTCGACACCTTGCTTCTTCTTGCATTAGATCCCTTTTTGGGGAGATTTAGGGCTTTTATAAG